CAAAGAAACACCACTGCATCCCTGGGGCCAGTAGAGACAGGGGCTTGAAGAGTTTGCTCAAGTCCCACAAGATGCTCTGCCCCCATGAGCCAGCTCAGAACATGCTCCCTGACACAAAGTTCAGAGCAAGAGAAATTGCTAATGTCTGGGTGAGATTAAACTGATAAAACCCCCAAGAGAGGAAATTAGGCAGCACACCACTTACAAATAGCCAGGATAATTACCAGCTACTGGGACAGGAAACCAAGTTCACCAGCTCCATGCTTCAGAACACAGGCTTGGCAGAATCTCCCTTTCTTTGCTTTTATTTCAGCTTAATGAAATGAAAGACAATTCAGGAGGCCTCAGGGCCTGACCCTGTAGTGTTGCTCAAGAGGAACATCAGGTGTTTTGCAGAGTTAAGGAAGTAGCCTGTGGTTTAGACATCTTTTCAGTCAAACAGGAGCTGTCCTTGATTAGCTTTGACAGAGGAATTAAGGTATTGGAGGTGCTGGGAGCAGATCTGAGATACCATGAGCACTTCAAGGGCTCTGAATTTTGCGTGTTAGTCTAGAATTCAAAGCCCTAAAAACTCCTTAAATCGTTCAAATTACCAGACTGTTTAGATCAAAAAAATCAAAACAGCCAGTTGAGACAATTTAACTTCTTTTACCCTTCATTTCAAAGTGCTGGGCTTTTCAAACTGATAGAATTTAACCATTTGAAATGCCAGCTTCATGCAGTACAGCAGAAAGCCATGCCAATTAAAAGATGAAAAAGGTGTTTTGTCATTTTTCTAATGATATCAGAATAGTGGCTTTTTAAAGAGAAGATGATCCAAAACAAAAACATCATCAAAACAGCAATGTGGTGAAGCATTAAAATTCTAGCAGAACTGCCTTTGGCTACAGAAAGCACCAGAGCTCCTCCTGCCCAGCCCTGCTTTGGGAGTCTGCTTCTTAGAGAAGTTCAATGCCAGACTCAAGGTCTTCCAGGGCAAGGATCTGAATAACAGATCAGCTTCCCTTTTGAACTGGATGTCAAGATTTCTTGGCTCAAGGTAGATGTTGATAAGCACGAACCTCAAACTCACCAGCCATCTGAAGAATGAGACTGAAAGTAAGGCTTGGAGGCAAACGCTATTAATCAGTATTCTGTATAATTGACCACTGGAATTCCCTGGGTTCTCTGCCTTCAGTGGGAAGATTCAGATTTGCTTTGGTTTAACTATCTTATCAAGAAGACAACCAGGATAATCAGCAGAACAGGTCAGTATTGCCAGCAGTGACAGATGCCTGCGCAAAGGCAAGAGAAGCCTGACAATTGGTAAGATTTGGCTAGATATGACAGTGGTGCAAGTACAAAGGAATGTCTGAAAATAGAGGGGAAAATACTAGCTTAAAAATTGCTAAGCTTTGCAACACCATGCATGAAGCTGAAAACAAGCAGCAGTGCTTGCTCCTAGAGTCCACTGAAAGTAGGAAAGTTGTCAGTGCAAGGAAGCATCTCTTTCATTGGCATTATCTAGCACTGGTTGGGCATTAGCAAAGGGGGAAACATTTTCTTCCCCAACTGTATACAAGTCCCATGATTTATATTCTTTACAGCATTTTTATGAGCTTCTTTAGCACATCACCCAGTGTAATAACAGTATGATAATTGTGTTGGCTGCATGTCCTGGCACTTAATTATAACGCTGTCATTGTCATTTCCCAGCTTGTCTAACAGAATAACTTGCCATGTGGTTGACATCCAATTAAGAAAAAGGGGGGAAAGAGAAAGAAAAAATACAAATATGACATCAACATAAGACACTTGCTTGATGGCTTTGTGATAAAGTCCCTAAGTTACAGATCTGCACAACAGTGTCCACTTTCATCTGCAGGCTTCTTGCACAGGTTCTGTATGCATGAGAAGGACAGCCTGTAATTCAAAGGCTTAGTTTTAAGATGTCTTCTTCCTCTCCTCTGGACCAGCACAGGTCAAGCTCCAGCCTAGCTCTGACAAACATTTGCTGTCTTCACATGACAGAGATTTTTCCCCTTTACTAGGTGCAGGTACAGCTCCAGCCCCAACCTTAAGCTGTCTGAAAAGAGCTTGTTGAAGATGCAGAATCCTTGCTCCTGCAGCTAACAGAGCTGATGAGGCTGGCACCCTCCTCCAGTGCATCCTCACTCAACAGCTCCCACCCAAAATCCAACTGAGAAAATTTGACAAATCCTGTAACATCTCATCTACCACCTCCAGGATACTCAGAATGTTCCAAACCCCAAATCGGTCCTCAAGGCACTGTTTCTTAATCAAAGCATCTGACATGCAGTACTAAATTTACTTTGCTTACCCTGGCTGTCCTTTCTAGCACGCCTGTTTCAGGGAAGCTTTCTCTGGGATCACTAACACAAGCAAGTCACAAGTAATGGTGCATAGACAGTGCTACTACCACCGTTCATTCGTACTCTTTGCTCACACATGGCCTCTTACAGTAGCTCAGTTCACTCATGGTAACTGATCCGTGCTTCACATGTTAGCTACACAAACCCAGGATGTCCATTCTAGCACAAATGGATCCAGTTTTTCATACCATCATAGCCAGGTATTAGAGGCTTATGTGCATTACTAAATGATCTTTATCCAATCCCATAGTTGAGCATCACAAGAACTGAGACACTGCAGCTGCTTCACAGCTGTAGGAATTCCAGCCCTAGGGACCTCAGTGAATTCAAGATTGCTGTGTACTCTGTGTTCTTTTCCACAGTGATTATTTATGTAACTAGGATTAATGGAGACACAAAAAGAGCTCTTGACAAATAGCATACCTGTGAAATAATAAACTACAGTGCTGTCGCACTAGGGTTCCTCACTGCTGAGCAGTTAGACACAAGTCTGCCCTAAGAAATCTCTATAGCTTTTTCAGGAGAAGGTTTCCTCTCCCCATGCTTCTTTCCTACATGAGCAAGAGGTGTGCACAGTGATGCTCCTTTCTCTCTTGTCTTCTCCCTGCAGCTGCCACCTTTCAGCAGTGCTGCACCCCATGGTCTGTCAGGCTCTTGGACACAGACAGAGGAGTGAGCAGCGAGAGCAGCACTGCACTGGAAATCATGGTTTAAAGGTTCAGTAATGTGTTGTGCCTGTATTTATTCTTCCCAGACTGCATTTGTTGGCCACATGGAGCCTCTGCAGGTGGGAGCTGGAGCAAATAAGTGCCCTTTTTTCCTTCTTTCCAGGCCTTATCACAGCTTTGTTCTGAATTTTGGAGCATTTCCTTCTCCCCCCAAGAAGCCATAGGAAGTCATGCAGTCTGGGAAGTAGTTGGGCTGAGGTGACTGAGAGGGGAAAAGCCATGCAGGGAGGTTTAAGTTAATGGAGTGTGGCAGAGAGAAGAATGGCTTGTTTTCCCCCTTTCTATCCAGAAAATCTCCTGAGGATAAAAATCACTGAATCAAAGCTGGACTTACAAGAGACTTAAGGCGAGAGCATTAGGATTTGGGGAAGAAAGGTAATCAGCAGCTTGCTCTGCCTAAGGCAAAGCTGATAGGGTCACACCTGAGATGAAAGGATTAACACCTTATTGTAGCTTGTAGTGGGACACAGTGGGATGCTTTGGGGCACTGACCAACAGGGGACCTGCGGCAGCAGCTCCTGTTGCTCTACTGAGGAAACCCGAGCTGAAAGCAGAAGGGCACAGGTAGGATCCCTCACCAATTGCTGCAAACAGCTCCTCTCTCTGAGTTTCCCCCAAGCATCCAGGGCTCATCTCTTGATTCCTCTTGATTCCAGTGCTTGGGCTTGGGCTTCTCCTTCCAGCTCCCACTGCTGCACAGGTCCCCTTCCCTACAAGATATCTCCACTCAGGATTCCACACTGAGAAGCTGCATCAGCAGCTACAGTGCTGGAGCAATGTGCAATGTCGCAGGGCATCTGCAAAAGGTCACTGAGAACTGTTTTCTCTTGAGTCTTGTTTTTGTTTAAGAAGTCTGGGGAAGTGCTTTTTTTGGAGGCTGGGAGGGGGAATTGTGCTGCTTTAACATAAATTTCACTGAGAGGCTACAACTTGCATTTAAATTGATTTATGAGCATGCTCGCTGAGGTCTGCACCACCTTAACCGAGGCAATTAAAAACCTGATGTTAGCTTAATTGGTTCAAGGTTTACTACAAGCAAACCTTAAATACTGAGATGCTTTTCCAGAAGAGCACACTGAGTTATTTGCCTGGTGTTTCAAAGGCATATGTCCGTGCTAATGTCCTTAGTCCTTGTTGAGCAGATCACTACAGCAACTGACCTAGACACAGCACTTCTATGTCACTATGTGAGAACTGAGGACTCCTCCCAGGGTGATCAAGGTCTGTAAAGCAGAATTCAACTTATTCAAATAAGATCCATGTGCCTCAGTTGGAATCAGTTCACCTATGATGTGACCCCCGGTGCCTGCTCTTTCTAGCTGTTATGTTAAAACCTCATTAGCTTCTGCAAACACAAAGCCAGGAGATGGTTAAGATCCGAGTTCATTAATACCCCCACAAACCTAATGTACAGAAGCTTCAACAAAAGCTTTTGATTTAGCCCATCTTTTGAGTTTCTTGTTCTTAATCAATTATTTCTGTCCTGCAAACAACTTCCCTTTCCCCTAGGATAACATCTTAATTAAATGCATCTGAACTGAACCACATACCTGCTAGCAGGGGTGACCACACCAAGCTGGGAGAAATTACACCTCTTGCTCCACTGTTCTCATGCTTATTTGCAGATCTAAATAGGAGCCAAGCCTTCCACAAGCATGTCTTTACTGCTACTTCACAGGAGTTGCTATACAGTAATATAGTAGGTGAAATCACTAAGCAGGCATTTCTCAACTGCAAGAAAATATTCTGAACCTTACAATATTTTTACCTGTGTAGGTAATATACAGCCTACATGAGACCATCTCCTACCATGAAACACCTTTCTTTGCTAATTAGAAGTGTTTTCCTGATTACTTGATGCTAGTGGGTAGAAAGCAGCTCTTAGCCCTGGTCAAGTAAAACAAAGGCTAAAGAATACTTTATTAGTGCCAGATTTCATCTGATCTGTTAGAACTCCTCCATGAGCACTGTCTGATAACTATTTCCTTTATATACATTTCCATTTCATGAGAACCTTGTCTGATTTAACTCTGCTTGGGAAGACAATAGTTGCATGCTAGTGAAAGCAGCACTTTGCTTACATCCAGACATGATGAAAAATGAAATAGCTCTTAAGGGGCCACTTCTTGAAATACTGCTACAAGTCCTTAAAAATCTCCAGCTCTTGCAAGATTGCCCCATTCAAATTGTATGGTCTCAAGTAGCTCAGAAAAACCACTTGTTTTATTCCATATCCTGTTTCATGTGTTGTTCTACACCATGTATTTAGACATCTCATATGCAAACACAACCTTTCCTCTAAGTACTCCTTGAACAGAACTGCATATTTGGCATGAGCCAACACATTTGCCTCAGTTCCATATAGCAACCAGCAGCATTAATTGAAACACCAGAGACCTCAACATGTGCACTTTGCTGAATCAATTTATAGGCACTGATATAAGAAAGAAGAAAAAGAACTAAAGCAACTGAGGAGGAGGAGCAGCCGATCACCCAGGTAAACAAGCAGCCCAGGTAGGCGAGGATACAACCATTAATCACCATCCAGATAATGCCAGGAAAGGACAATAATCCATAACAAGTTTTGTCATTCCTTTGCATTGTCTCATAATAGGAGAAATACAGCAAACAATTGTCAACAGTTGTTCACAATGATCATTTCAGCTTTTGCACTGAGGTTTGGTCTTATGCGTTGAGCCAGTGCCCCCTCAATGTTCATGAAGTTCTCCTTACCCTAAGCTAGTGTTGAAGATTCACTGTGTTTCTGCCCCTTTGATGTTGGAACTACTGCTAGTCCCCAGCACTACTGTTTTTCTTCATCCTAGTTATTTAAGGGAACTTTTTCCACCTGACCCAGGCAAAAGCCTTTCACGTGGCAGCTCGAGATCAAAGTTAATTTGCTCATACCAAAGAGCTTCACAAACACACAATTAAAAATACAGCCTCCCAGTTACAGTTGCATTCCCAGAACTGCAAAGAGCTGAGAATGAGCACAAGTAACCCCTACACCAGATCCCTGTCTGATGTCCATCCAAGGCTGGGAACCTGCCTCCTGCCAAGGACAGCACGCAGAAAAAAAGCAGAGGAGACTTCTGCAGGAAAAGAACCGAGGGAGATCCCCTCTTCATGCAGAGCATACTGCACGACCCTGTGTGATCACCTTCCGTTATCCCAGGTTTATATTCTCAGATATGTTGCAATCACTGAAATTTGACATAAGTGCTATTGAAAAGGACTATATGCAGTATGATCACACGCTATGGAATCCTGCTTACTAGAATTACTTACAAAGCTATCAATGCGCTGCTTTTTTAATGTTTCAAAATTAGTCTTTTATTTTCATTTCAATCCTGTTTTGCCTGCTGTTACACCATCTGAGAGCAGCTTGGTAAGGAAACCTCTGCACAGGTGAGCAGAGAAAACATTATCAGAACTTGCTTATCTTTTTATGCCACAGAATCATGACTATTTCCATAATCTATCTCCCTTTGGTAACCATCCATATAGCTAAGAGGCAATTTCCAGGCTTGAGTCCAAGCACAGAAGGCTTAACACTTGTGTTAACCTTTGGCACAGCTCTTACTATGCTGCACTTCTCAACTCTCACAGTTTTCCACCAAGACACAATCTCCTGCATCAAGAACAAGGAAAAAGCCAAACAAACCCAAGTCCTGCTTCCTTTCAGGCAAAGCCTGGGACTCTTCCCACAGAGTTCAAAGGCAGTTTGAGCACCATCTTGAGATTTACAATCAGGATTTCACAGATCTCCTCATCCTTCATGGTCGGGAATGATCTCATGGTAGTTCATTTTTCCTAAAGAAATACTTTCCACTTTATCTTTAAAAAGGGACTTTGAATTCTTTAACTTTTAAAGCTACTTTCCAATTTTGTTCAGAACGCTCCATCTAGCATTCAAGTGGAGCACTCAGCACAGATTTGGCTTAAAACCTCCCTATTCCAAAAACATTTTGTGTCCAGCTTGACATCTAATGTTTAAAAAGCTGCTTTGGCAGCACATGAATCAGAGGAGGAGCTGTAGACTGGGAGGTAGAATAGGAAGAAAACACACCAGTGTCAACAGTATGTCCCTAAAGCTGTCACACTACCAAGAGAGACTTTGTCAACTCGGCTTTCGCCAAAGGACGCAGTACAAAGCACACCTCTTGAGGTGATAGTTAATTGTGGTCCATTGGTGCATACTTTGCATTGATGAACTGTTAGAGCCTTTGCTAAGATATTTTTAGCCTGGTTTCCTAAGGAAAGTGGACCTATGTAGCTATGCTGCCTATGCTGATCCTTCCAGCCCAATTTTCCACAGATCTCTCAAAACAGTTGTCTAAATTTTAGCGAAGTTTGACAGCGGAGTAGATGTTTGTAGGCATGTAATTACCTCTTTTCTCCTGAAAATCACAAGCAGGAAAGAGAAAAACCTAGAATCCATGAGAAAAAACAAGCCTGAACTACCTGTTATCCCCGTTATTTCACCAGTCGACCAGCAAAGCCACACTCAGAAGCAGCCTCTTTGGTTTGCTAATAGCTACAGGACAAAGGACAGTGCTGGAGCTGTCAGGAGGATAAGCCCGAGAGGACATTGAGTAGGGGTAGAATCATGTGGACACTCACAATAAAAACAAGCTTCATAAGCTTCAGTGTTTCTACTACCCTGTGGTATGATCCCTTTGTCATAAAGCTAAGGTTTTATAGAGTCACATTACCTCCAGGACCTGTGAAACATCAGATATCACAGGGTTCACCAAGACAAATGACAAGCACTGCCTAGGGCTAATGTACTTGCTTATCTGCACTTGTTTTCCTCTTTCCCTTTGGGCCTTTCAAAGACAAAAATTAAAGCTGCAGTGGCCCGCCTTGCATCAGCTTCAGAAGAGCCATGAGTTCAACAGCACTGGCATTAACCTTTGTAAGTGTTCTCTTCATGAAGGGGCATGAGGCATATAAGGAGGAGGGACGGATGTATCAGGTAGACTTCAATCTGCATGACTGACAGTCTGGCCATTGGATTCCCTTCCAAAAATCAGAATACAGATATACATTAGGTACCAAGCTGGTTTATGACTTATTCCTTAAGGACTGTTCATGAGCATCCTATAACAGCTAATGATGCAAGCATGCTCCAACTATTTGCTAAACACTGTGCACAGGAGAAATGGAGCACTGATTAAAGGAATGTTCGGCACATGGAAGCTGTCTTTTTGTCATTGAATACCCCTGAGCAATTCATGCCACCTTTGCATGCCTCAGTTTCCCTCTTGGTAACTAGAAGTTATTAACAAGATCTGAGCTTAGTGTTTACCTTGAGGAGTGTTAGAGGAAATCTGCATCAGTCTCCCATAAGAACTGGGTCCTGATAGAAGGGAAGCAGCATACAGACTACAGGTATAAACTACTATAAGCTAGTCATGGGTAGGCCTGCTCAAGCCCCCAAACCAGCGCATTGATGGTATATCATGAGACAGATGTTTCCCCCACATTTACACATAGCATCCGCCAGTATTTCTGTGCTCCCCAGCTCCTGACAGAAGTCCCTTCAATGGGGATAGCAAAGCCAAAGCACAGACCTCTCCACCACTTCCCTTTTCCTCCAGACCAACAACACTTGGACTGGCACTTCTGCTTCTTCCTGGGCACTTGCACATGTACTTTCATGGACAGTCTGCTTTCCAGAGGCAAAGAATCAGAAGCTCTTTCTTTAAAATGAAATTTTCACTTCTTGAATGCCACTGTGGTAGCTTGTGAGAGAGAGGTACCCTCCATGCACTGCTCCACTACAGAGAACAGCCGTTCACACAGTCCAGTGCAGACCATTTGCCATGTTATCGTCACAGCACATGAGGAGAGTCCCCGCTCTGGGTCAGCCACTGATGGACACCAGCTAGTTGAGAACACTGAGCTCCAGGAGAAAGGGACATGGACTTATCCTCAACTATAGCTCTCGAGACGCATTGCTGATGCTTTGGAGCTGGGATGGCTCTAAACCATTCCCTCATCCTTCCTTGGGCTTCGGTTTTCTGCTAATTCCCAGCAGCCTATTGTGTTAACGCGCCCAGCTCTCCCCCATAAAGAGTGTTTTATGAGCATTTTGCATAATCAATACAATTTTCTGTTTCTTTCTAAAAGACTTGACCAGCATCACAATGAGAAATTGAGGTCAGTTCACCAAGTTCACCATCTATAGCAGAAAGGCATCATCTGCAATAAATATTAGTGTACAGTGACTGCTCTGGCAACCTCTGTTGAACTACTATGGAATTTACAGCATGGATTTAATTTGTAAGTTTGTCCATTTTCCCGTAAGGCTTTTTAAATAGGTATCTAATATTTATATCTGCATATACTTTGCTGGAAGCAGTTAAGCATTTATAATGAGACAACAATAAAATGCATTTACTTTAGTTGCTGTGCTAATTATTTCCTCTTGAATGATTTAGTATATATTGTAATTTCTGTTTATAAACAACACTGTTGCCAGCCCCTGGGAGTTTGTTCATCAGTTACAACAGGTTATCGGCAGGTATACACAGGGAATTCTGAAAGTGCTCCCTGTGTGAGGCAAGGAGAAGGAATAAGGTCAAGATGCTCTTGCAGGGCTTCTTCTGGAAAAATTTGTTGGTTTATGAAAGCCATAATCCATGCTGGGAACTTAGCACAGCTCTTCAGACGCACCAGCTCCCGAGTAAAAATAAAACGCCCTTGCCATGCATTCGATGCCGTGCACACAAACATTTGTGTGCATGAGCATTAGAGCAGTTCTGGCCGCTCTGGGGGCAGAGGTGGAAAATCGCACCCTGCAAATTTTTCTGTTGATAATACTTCCTCTAAGCAAGAGAACGGCATGAAGCCACGCGGCTCACCAGGCCACTGCATGGAACCATAACACAAGTTGTGCCTATTGCCTGTTATCACATGTTTACTCAATGGATTGATCAGACCCTAAAGCAGAAGTAGGAAAATGAGTGAACCAGAGGCAGGTCATTCAGGTGCTTTAATCCCTGCGCTTCTCAACTAATGGCAAAGACATAAGAAACTAACAAATAACTACTAATGTTCTACAGAAATCATGTTAAAATCCTACATTATTTAAGAGCATAAAGTAGAATAATTTTGGGGGTGATTCTGATTGATTGATTCTGACAGATTGATTTCATGGTAGATGAAAGGATTTCTCCATGGTTTTCCTGAGCAAGGACAGGAGTCCCTAGAAATTGCCCCATTACTAAAGAAGCCCATTGTGGGCACAGATTTCCACAGGCTCACAAATAAAGCCTTGCTCCTAGTGCTGCTGCACAGAGCCTGGAAGATTAGGACATAGGCTTTACAGGGGCACAGAACATAGTAGCAGATGCTTGTAAACAGATTTTCCACCTTTCTTTTTGTACCCATACAACACATCACATCACAATTAGTCATTCTTTCTTTAAGAATGCTCAGGACAGGATCCTAAATACAAATTCCCACACTCCAGGACATTTGCAAGTCCAAGTCCCAGGCTTCTGCTGCCTGCTCTTACCTACAGCCCTTTTCTTTCACTTCTCCTCTGGATTCTGCTTTGCCAGGAATTCTGCAATCCTTTCCCTCTTCCACTAACTGCACCTCTCCTCTTCCTGCTCTAGGACAAGAAGCCAAACAGCTTGGCACAGCCAGCCCCTAGTGAACCTCCTTATCTCTGGCTACAAGTTGGCTCTTGCCCCTCAACCAGCATTATGAAAGTGTAATGTAGAATGCAAACTCCTCTCTTGAAGAAGGGAATTAGGACAGTGGGTTTCACAGGTCTGAAAGAAGAAAAGAAACAAAAAGGAAGAGGTGCTCCAAGATGACACCGCAATTCTAAAGCGGGATGGAAGCAAATGTCTTGTGATAGTGACAGACACAGAAATAGAAGAGCATTGGAGAGGAAGAACATTGGCAACAGAGACAGCTAAATGAAGGGGTATATTGCTCATGTAAAAAGCAACTTACAGGACTGGAAGTAAATGTTATGAGAGAAGCTAGTCCAATAACCAGGTTTATTTATGCCCTGTGGAATTTCCCTACTATTTCCTACAACACAACAGCATCAGGGAGGACTCACAAGCCAAGCCACACTTACACAATTCACCCCAGTCAGCCCCTGCCAGCAACGTGCAGCTGAACTGCCGCTGAGCCTGGGATCTGCTCTACAACCTACCTGGGGATAATGTCCCCCTTTCCATTCTTTGTATGGCAACTGCATTATACAAGCACACATGAAAACACAGTAACAGCCACTGCAGTAAGTGCTGACACCAGATAACTGCTTGGTTCATTTTTTATGAGGATATCTGCCCAGGAGTGTTTATTCTAAACAAAGGACCCTTAGGAGCAAGGCTTCAGGAGCATATGGCCATTGTAAAGCGTTAGATGCTTTTTGCTGAGACACGTATAAGGATCACCTTCCTCTGTCCCAGAAGCCAGCTTAGCCCAGTTACTCCTGCCCCAAAGAAATACTCATTTTAAAACGTATGGCAAGGCAGATGATTTTTACAGACAACCTGCAGTTAGGTACCAGCATCCCACAACATGTCACTGGGAGATGGGTTTACGATGCCTCTGCCTAATCTCTGTATTTAACCTTCATGAGATTTACAAAACATGTACTTTCTCCTAAGTACCACTTGGCTTTGTTACTTTTTAAAAGGAGCAGAGCTCATCAATAGCAGACCCAACATTCTGTAATCTAAGCTCCTAAAGAACAGTTTTAAAACCACCCTTATTTCACAGATTTCAGATGTGTTTTAAGACATTCTGCAGATGAACATTTTTCAGTTACCAGGTGAAACAAAACGAAACAGCTTGAGTAAAAAAAAAAAAAAAAAAAAAAAATCACAAATACGACAAACAACAGTAACTGTGTCTTCTATTCAAATCCCCAAAGGAAACTAGAAATGGACTGAAAAAGGGTGAAAATGCTAACACGGACATTTCAAGCACAGAATATGTCTGATATGTTTCAGGCACAGCAGAGTATTGGACACAGAGTATACAAAGCTAGAAATAAGGACAACTGAGAAGGGACGATGTTCCCTTTTCCATTAACCCTTGCAGAAGGTCTTTAGGATGTTCCAGAAAACGGAGCATCCTCCATTTGGTGACTTCAAGGGGAGTATTACATGATTCAGCTCCTGGAGTCCAGTGATTAAAAAAGCTATTCTGCATTTTGCCCACACTTATTTTCCAGTGCTTGCAACTGCAAAGAAACCTTCGAAAAGCATTTCATTTTTTTCCAGAATACTACATCTGCCTCCTTGCAAGTCCACAGAGACTTAGAAAACATCCTATTCTGTGCCAACAGTTGTAAGTAATGTACGAGTATTTATGTATGTGTGGCCAGATCTGCCTGGAGCCAGCAAGCAGCCATCCTGCCCACAGAGCTTTGAGATCCTTCCAGGTGGTAAGTGTTAATAAAGCAAAGCATGGTAACATTATCATTATTTTCCACTTTAATTCTTTAATTTCATGCTTCACTTTTGTCGGCGTTTCGTGCACTGGAACATTTGTAATCATTCATTATTCTGGTTGAGAGAGAATGCATAAGGGTTTAGGAGTGATATGACATTTACACTCACTTATGAGTTATTAGATGTCTTCTTATATGGGATGAAGAATGTCAGATCTTGGCATCTTGTCTTTTGAATATCAACCAAGTTTCCTCTGTAGCTTCCTCTCAGTTATTCACTATCAGTACTCTTATCCTCAGACAGAAGCAATCACACATAACATGTACAGAAACAAAAATTACAGCATCTGACCAATACCTTGCATGCTGCATTTGCAATACAGATTTAAGAGATGATTCTGCATCTTTGTTTATGTGACCATTGTCTTTAAAGTCAAGGAACCTACTCCTGTGAGAAAGTACTTCTCAAAGTTGTAAAACCAGGTCTTGAATGTATTTTAAAGTATAATTATAGTACTATTTAACTCTCAGTTATAAGCTGGAACCTACAGAGTAAGGAAAAGGGTTGCTCACTTAATAAAATATTGCTGTCATTACCAACCCTGAAAATGGTTATTAAAAACCTTAAGCACCCACTACTACCTGCAGCCTGCTGCTCACAGCACCTCCACATCCAGTGAGCCACTTAGCACACCCTGAAAACTTCTAGTGCGTTCTTCAGTGAAGGATTAACCCCAGCACAAATCAGTGCCTGGTGCTGTACAGGTGCTCTGTGGGGACAACAGCCGTTTCCTGAATAACACACTGCCTCTATTCCTACAAGATGCAGCAATGAGCTTCTGTAGGAATTAGACATCCTACAGATATTTGCATGCCAACCTCCCATCCCAAAGTCTGGGAGGTGACATTAGAGTGTTTCTAGGTGTCATCTCTTATCCCTGCCAAGAAACTTGCTTCTGAAAGCAAGTGAGATTTCCAGTTTGGTCCCATGTCCTTTCAATTGTGTAAAAAGCACCGAAGACAATTTCATATGACCTGTCTGTATAGCGTCTGCCTTCCCTATGGGTTAAAACTGCATCCAATTTTCAGCAGAAATATTTAAACACACAGTCATAGGAAGGAAAGCCGCACACAGACGTGGCACACTGCTCCTTTTATCTCTCTCTGTCCCTGAACAGTGCACAGAGGAAGGAGCAGCGTTTCAAGTCTAATTGTGTATTACGCTGACTCTTAGCGTGACTGATAAACCAGCTCAATTCACATCCTCGCTCCTGAGTGCTAGAAGACAAGCAACACTTAGACACAAGTCATTTTTCTATGTCAAGCAATTTTCTACAACCTGCTCAGCTGCTACACATCTTTGATTTAAGTCACTGCTCCTCCTAAAAGCAGCATCAGAGCATCCTCTTTCAAGGCCGTGTGATGCTGTAAGCAGTTTCATGTCACATTCGTCATAGATACAAACATGACAAACTATGGGATGAAAACCATTGATGAAAACAGGCAAATAAAGAACTGACAAAAAGGAGGAGTGCACAAAGGACGAAGAAAGAAAAGCAACTACATTGGATAACATTCTTGTCAAGCAGGGTACATCCGAGCTTGCCCTTTCACTGCTATTTAGCTATTGAAAAGGCTTTTCTCCCCACGTCAGCATTCGCGACAGCTCTCCCTAATTTTGTACCAAAAGGTGGCAGCACTCCAACCACCTTCAGCGTGTCCCTCTTCCTGCTTCTACTTCCCAAGGAACTGTAGGGCAAAAGACCCATGAACCACAGCTTTCAGAGTCAAGCAAATATTTCCAAATCCTTATACCCCATTGATTTTTCCACAACACACCCACAGACAGCAAACTTGGAGCCTGTAGGTTCAAAGACAGGAAGGGTGGGCTATTCAATAAAGGAGCAGAAACAGTAATGCGGATAAGCTATTAGCGCTCTTTCAGAATGAAATGAAACAAATCAGTTTTGGTCACCACCTCATTCAATATGGAAAAGAAGTCCACGTATAGTTTAAAACAAACAAACAAACCCCAATTATTTTGACAAATGCACTTCAATGGGAGCATGCATGGATCCGGAACTAGAGAGCAGCCCAAGCTGGTTAAGCAGAGATCTCACTAAAAATCCATCTCTAATTCAGATTAAGCTAGAAGCTCAGAAGCAACCCTGTGCAGTACTGATGCTTAGGGTAAAAGGATTAATAACACACAGATTAACAGAACCTTCACTACTAACAGCACCTCATCATCAGGATGATCACACCACTGCCTATGTAGGAGAGGGAGGGGGATGAAACAGAAACAGTAACTCTCTGGTGTCAGCCCATCCGAGATTCATGCAAAACAGGAAAACAATCCTGAATTCTAAGCAGCTGATTTCTATACTTATATTAATGCAATATCTGTTCAGAGAGTCATTGCTTCGCCCTATTCATTTTTATTTCATTTTCTACTTGAAAGCAGCAACAGTCCCAGGCACAAGTATAAAATTCTGCACAGTTGTGCAGTCACAGGAATAACCAATACATTTGGTTCTGTTTTGTGGGCAAACTGCGTTCACAAGTTGTGTTTGAAGAGTTGCAGGTGAAAACCTGACATTGTTGAAGTCAGTAGGTGTTATTTCCACTGCCTACTCCAACAGCCTACAAAAATTTAGATTAGTAAATATACTAAAATGCATATTTACTTCTGAACTAAATGTTGCAGGCAAAAAAGAGATCAAGCCAAAGATTTCCCCAGAGATCATTTAGTTTGAATCTTAGCTGCTTATTGCCTGGAGGGCTTGATCAGTCACCCGGTATTATGTTTGTACCCACATTTGTCACTAGAGATGTTGCAAAACTGCACAGTCTACCAAGACCCCATGACAGGCATATTTTGCATATACAGTTGCATGTCAGTTCTTGTAATTACCATTAATGTTCATACGCTCCTTTTCTTACAGAAGTTCTCACAAACAGTTTCTACTTCTGTGAATGCTGATGAGGAATAGACTGAAAGGATCAGAAATAACTTGCTGAAGAATTTGTTATTTTGATTGGAATAAGTGTTCACACATCTTTCGATGTTCTTCATTCAGGTCCACACTTGCAGAAGTCATCCTTTTTATTATTAATTGGTTTTGGTTTTCTGTGTTTACAGAAACCAGATTTTACTTAGCAGTACAAGAAGGAAGTCAACATGACACCATTAGGAATAATTACAACTCTGTTTCTGCACAGAAGTAACTTATTACTCTGGCAGCTGAAGCAAAATATGTCAGTCAGATAGTCTTACTTCCAAGACACTGCAACTTTCCTCATCAAAAGTATAACAGGCAGGATCCGACTGCTGCTTGCGGTGGAAGACTGGCAAGGGATTCATGTTATCACTTCAGTAGCAACTGACGATACACTGCAAAACATCTTACCCTACTCTACATCCCTCTGAGATCATCACCCAGCCGCTTCCAAGCAAGTCACTCCTCTCAGGTTGCTAACACACAGTTAAGGGCTTCCAAGGGATCACTCAGAAATAAAGGCCTGTGCAGCAAGATCATTACGTTTCAAGAAATCAGAGGCTGATTAGGAAAGATCATCAGCACTTCTAAGCAGGGACCTAACCTAACCCATGTGCTGGGCAGGCTTCCACTACATGTACTATTTGACAGATGCTTTTCCAATCGTCTCTTGAATAACTATAATTAATAGCAACTATTTTACTCATCCTGGAGAATATTAAGTTACTTAAATCCTCTGGGGCTCCAATTCTGAGCCATTTTAGGACATGATTCTCAAACACATTTTGCATGCTGTAATAGCTGCCAGTCAAAGAAACATATCTTGAATCCCAGTTAATCAGCCATTAACCTCATGGTGCCCAGCCACACAAGAGAGATGATAAACCAACACCTGCAGGGCCCACAGTGCCAGGAGCACAGGGAGGGAGCAAAAGCAGCTGCAGGTCAGCTCTTGCATGCACAGGAATCGTTCATTAGAATGAATCGCATCATGCTTAATCAGAGAAGGGAATTTAGGATGCATAGAGGGTGCCTCCTTTTGAGATTTTGACTTTGCCAACTTAACCAATGCCCTCAGCTCATGGATCCTTAAAAAATTAAAAGCTGAGAAGAAAAAAAAATACCCTACAGTCCAGCAGGACTGAATTTCTCACATTTAATCAGCAGGATTCGGATGTTCGCATCCACAGCCAGTCCTTCAGTTAACCTATGATGAGGAGCAGTAGGAAGCTGTTAAAGATCATGTGGACATCCAGTATAGAGGAATGGAGATGACAGTTATCAGTTGCTTATGAGACAGCAGATATAAATCCCCGATTAATGGTTTCAGCTCCACATGCATCCCCAGGCTCTCCCTAAAGTCCTCTTTAGCCCCTGTCCATCTCCTCATCTGTCTCTCATCAGCTTGTCCTAAACCACCTCCAATACCTGCTTTTTCACCCACAGCTCTTATTCTCCCTTTTTGTCTGTTCTTCCTCAATAATCAAGCCCCAAGAGGCTGATTTTCTTGGCAGCTTCCTCCACTAGCTGGAACAAAAGTTATCTCCAAGTCACCCAGACGCATTAAGTATAAAATGGCTCTCCTAAATATACATTTAATCTATTCCTTGTCCTTTGTACAACACAAATACAGCCCCCTTTGAGAATGTATTGATTCTCATGCACCTGTCACAACTAAGTTGGTTTATCCACAGGCTAAGCACAAGCTTCCACTCAGTTCATGCTGTATTTTAATGCTATATTTGGACAAATCTGGGTCTGCACGTTCTCCTCCTGTACAACCCCAGGGGTCTTGCACCGACTTCCACTAGGCCTTTGATGGAGAGCAGCCAGGCTGCTCATTAGTCTGTTAGGAAGCTGCTCATCAGTCCCATTCCCAAACTCCCCATTACTTCCGTGGAATAGCTGCAGTAATTGGGCTGCCTATTTGTCAGGCCCGGATTAGCATTGCTTCAGCCAAACACTAATGGTGCATCCTGCAGCGTGTTGCACCACGTCTCCTCAATGCCAATGCAGTTGTGGTTTTTGTCACTGCTTTTGGGTCTGTCCTGTTTAGTTGTCAGGCAAATGGAAGAGTTTTAACAACATGCTCAGTGACCTCTGTTCTCAGCACTGCTTCTTGCCTGCTCTGGAGGAGGGTGAGAACAGGGATAACACATCCTGCTTCTAGAAACAGTCCTGGGAGCAACCGAAGGTCTAGACAATGATGCCAGAGAATTAAAAGCAAGATTCAAACCTGGCCAGCAAATATCTGAAAGCTTCAAATATCTGTTATAAAACCAGCTTCATGTTAATGGAAACGGCATGGGGAGGATTCTGCCATTTAAAGAAGCAGCTTCTTCTCTCCACTTGTTTTGGAGCACTTGAGGAAGCACTGTGAAGCAGGCTCTTGCTCCTGATCTCAGCATACACCAAAGAAAAGCACTGGGATCCGCAAAACAGGCAAGAGGCACCAGGAGATGGAAAGGAAATAAAGGCTCTATAAATAACTCTGATGCTACAGAGAGCGGTAGCAGCAGGAGAGTCTCAGTAACAAGGTGTTATTCATGGTGCTTCTCGCCTAGGGAGTGGGGTCCCCTCATCCCTGTGCCTCCAGTATGTTAAACTGTGTTCAATACTGCCTAGGAGGTGAGGGGACAGCAAGCTTAGAGCTGCCTAGGCTGACCCACACCCTGGGAAGCACAACATGAGCCAGGAAAACCCATCTCCTGTAAAACCAGTAAAATCAGAGTTACCAACCCTCACCTCCAGCCCATTTGGGCTTAAGCTGAGAGCTGACCTAACTCTGCACAACCCATCTGGTCACTTTTACTGTTTGCAGATTGTCCATCAATGAGAAGATGGAAGCACCTTGCTCCTGGCTGGTTTGAAAAGGAAAACCACAGCTTGTAATGGGACCCAGCACTGTGTGCCTGCTGCCACAGAGATGCAGTTGGACTCTAAGCATTCAAAATGCTTTGACCAAACTTTGTTGAGAACAAAAAACCCATCTTCCACAAATGATTGGAAAATAAGTGGAAAAAGCTCTGAATCCTAGCTCTAGCATTATGCAGAGCTGGTTCAAAAGAACATTCATGAGTATTTCCTTTATACCGCAGATATCCAGGTCTAAAACTCACAAGTGAAATTCAGCCATGTATCTTTCCATGTGGAGAAAAGCAGCAAATTGTCTGTGCTCCATGAGTTCAGGTATGTTGGAGGGTCACAAACTGAACCAAGGAAAATTAATGTCTAAAAATCTATCAAGCTAAAATGAAAATCCTTGCAGGGATGCTGGAGAGCTGGTCAGAAGCAAAGACCGGAGCTGTGGAGTTTGCCTTTTCCCCTGCAACTACACTAACAATAGGTCAGAAAAGGAGGAAACAGCTTCCAGCGCCTATTCCATAATGCTTCCGTATGTCTGTCTGAATACCCTCTGGGCTTTGAACCTTAGACTCAGCTTGTGAGCTGCTCGGGCTTGTCAGCTCCACTAGTTCTGAGGCAGTGAGCTCAAACCTGCCTCCAGAAAAGATTTCCCTACAACACCCAAGAACATGGAAAGACAAGAAAGCAGCCACTGAGTGGGACAGCCCTGGACCTCTCATGAGCCCAAGAAGCAAACTAGAAAGATTAAAGTTCTTCAGTTTAATCCCCACTGAGCAAGTTGCACTCCTTTATTTAGTAAGAAATATGCTGATCGCACTGATATGTCTCAAGATACAGAGAGAAACTGGGTTTGTTGAGCTGGAACTCTGCTGAAGGCATATATGCAAGAGCATAGCAAAGTATCATGGATACTTTCATACATATTTGTTAAAATAATCCCAGTGCCTCTCAGCCCAGCAATACTAGCACATGGAGGGCTCAGAGGGTAGGATGCAGGGATAGGACAATGCCTGTGGAGCAAAACTGCCCAAGAAAGCAGCACTGCCAGAGCTGGTACAGTGCAAAGTCACCATGGATCTGGAACAGCTTGGTAGGTTGGATGTTATGTTATGCTGTGCCTTCCCAACAGCAGTGATTCAAGGTACACCAACGACTTTAGGCTGCATCTAACCTAACAAGCCCATTAGCCTGCAGCCTGTTCTGTGCAATTTCACAGCTGCCGGAATCCCACCATTAGCTCCTTGCTGTTTTCCTTGGCACACTGCTTGACTGGTCTTGAACCTATGAGCATATACCTGCTCTGCAGCCAGGAAAAGAGACATTCCCTGCTCTGGAATGCCTGCTTCCCAGCCTACCTCATGTGCCACTCAAGCACACTCCCCTGAAAGTCTCCCAAGCACGTGAAAACCACTTCAGCACTTCCCCCCCACACATATCATAAGGGGCCTAAGCAGAGACAACAGTAGCACAGAGCAGACAATGGTTCACCCTCTAGGAGATTGTTTTGTACCCAGGAACCTCACACAGATTAAAAGGTTAAAGATACAGCACTACACAACTACACCGCACTTCACCACTCACCTTCAGAGGGGACGTGTGCGTTGAAAAGAAGTAACAAACTTCTACAAAGCACATTCCTCTGACAGACTGCTCATACAGAAAGAGAGGAAACACAAAGCAGGGGAAAAGAGGTGAACTGATGCTCAAAGTTCAGGCAAGATGGTCAAGGAAGCTTGATAAATATTACCCATCATAGCACAGAAGCACATGAATGAAAAGGACATTATCTGAACCCCAGCCATCCTGAATACAGCCAGAGTACTTTATGCAACTCCTATACCTGCTATATTTCCCAGTTTGCCCAGTGGCGAAGGAAAAGCAGCTTTCTCATCAGGTACTTCGCTTATCCTCATAAGCCCCTTTTCGAACATCACCTAGTTCCCTTCACTGTCAAAGGGACACAACAGACAAGTTCCATTGCCCATGTTTCTGCTTTTCCACCAACAAACCTCACTACATAAGGTCCCCTATGCCTAAAAGCAATCCTCAGTAATTGCCCAGCCTGTCTCTGGCTACACCTTGTTATTAATCTCAGCTGACCACAGTCATTAGCAATGTCCTATATGGGAATGTTCACCAGCTGCCCCCTCTCCACAATCTCTCCAGTAAGAGGAGGGGGTCTGTGCATAGCAGACAGTTATAAAGCTATCTGTTCATAGTCCCTGGACAGAGGTACCCTGGCAAAACAATGGTGTAACCAGGCAAGAAGGGCTATTTGACTGCGTTGTCTTCACTACAAGCACCTGGAATGGGGGTTACTCATTCTCTGATGTAACATTGGCTTCGAGACAGAGGTGAGAACAAGAGGCAAGTGAAGATGA